TAGGTTATTGATTGCGTTATTGAGTTTTATAGTTTCTTTGTTCAGCTTTTGTCTAGAGGATCTGTCCAATGGCAAGAGCGGTGTGTTGAAGTCACCCATAATTATTGTGTTGTGGTCTATTTGACTCTTGAACTTGAGGAGAGTTTGTTTTCTGAATGTTGCAGCACCATTGTTTGGTGCATACAAATTGATAATTGTTACGTCTTGATGGTGGATGGTTCCTTTTAACAGTATATAGTTTCCTTCTTTATCCCTTTTGATTAACTTAGGTTTAAATTGATTTTATTCTATATGAGTATGGCTACTCCTGCTTGCTTCCGAGGGCCATTTGAGTGGTATGATTTTTCCCAGCCTTTCACCTTCAGCCTGTTTATGTCTTTTCCTATCATATGAATCTCCTGAAGGCAGCGTTTTGTTGGGTTTGTTTTTTTAATCCAGGTTCCTAGCCTATGTCTCTTGATTGGTGAATTTAAGCCATTAACATTTAAGGTTACAATTGAAATGGTTTGTACTTCCAGTCATGTTTATTTATTTATTTTAGTTTGGCTAGTTTTTCCTCTTTGGTTATTTTTCTCCCCCTTTACTGAGATATCTCCCACTGTTAGTTTTGGGCGCTATTTTTCAATTCCTCTTCGTGTAGTATTTTGCTCAAAATGCTTTGTAGTGCTGGTTTTCTGGCTGCGAATTCTTTTAGCTTTTGTTTATTGTGAAATATTTTAATTTTATTGTCAAAGCTGAAGCTTAATTTTGCTGGGTACGGTATTCTTGGTTGAAATCCATTATTTTTCAGCGTTTGAAATACGTTGTTCCAGGATCTTCTCGCTTTCAAAGTCTGTGATGAAAAATCAGTCGTTACCCTAATTGGTTTACCCCTGAATGTAATCTGCCTCCTTTCTGTTTGGGGTCCTGTAGGCTTCCAGGATTTGGCAGTTCATTCCATCTTTCATCTCTGGGAAGCTTTCTAGGATTATTTCATTTAATAAGTTGTCCATTCCTTTGGTTTGAACCTCTGTGCCTTCTTCTATCCCAATGACTCTCAAATTTGTTTTTTTTTATGAGATCCCATGTCTCTTGGATAGATTGCTTGTGAGATTTAAGCATCCTTTCTGTGTTGACTATATTCTTTTCAAGTTGATAAACTTTGTCTTCATTATCTGATGTTCTGACTTCTACTTGATCTAGTCTATTTGTAATATTCTCATTAGAGTTTTTAATCTGGTTTATTGTTTCCTGCATTTCTAGGATTACTGTTTTTTTTAAAGTCTCTATCTCTTGGTAAAGCTCGTTCTTTGCAGTTTGAAATTGTTTGTTTGATTCATTTTCAAAATATACTTTCATTGCTTGGATTTGCTGTCTCATGTCTTCTCTAATATTCTGTTCCATCTGAGTTAGGTATGCCTTGATTTCTTTCCCTGTCCATGTTTCTGATGCTTCTAGGTCCTCCTGTAGATTTAAGTTGTCCTGCATTGTTTGTAATCCTTTTTTCCTTTGTTTTTTCATCAGGAAATGTTTATTGAGTGTATACTATGTGCCAGGTACTTTTCTAGGTTCTACAAGCAATAGTGAACAAAATAAAGTCCCTTGCCTTCATGAAACTTACATTGTTCTTTATTCCTTCCCTTTCCACAAACTCTTCCCTTCCGCTTCCTTTCCTTTGCTGTTACTTCTTCACTGTCTTCACTTAGTAAACAGAGAGAGGTGTGTTGATTATGAAGGAATGTGGACATTTAGCAAATCTGATAGAATAAGCTGTCCTTCTAGCAACTCCTATTGTTTTTTTTTTTAAGTGGGCTCCCTTACCAGATTAGGGAAAAATATATAAATACACTGTAAATATTTAGACATTTTAACTCCCCCACCCATTTTATCTCTTAGGATAAGGACTCAAGAGTCATTTTTAAAGCATGGAGGTTTTGTTAGGTATTTCTTATTCTTGTATCTATATGGTTTATCTTTGCCTGTATAGACTGAAGATAGGTATCAAAATCAAAGTCCTGAGGAAACACAGTTTTAATGATTGGTTATCTTTAGAGAATCTATTATTAAATCCTAAATATGAAAGTGAGACTTTTACCTGTTTGTTTTTGAGAGAACCCTCTTCTCTAAAAAGAGAACTGGATAATTTCAAGGTTTTGTTATAGTACTGTCTATGGAGTCTGGAATAATGAGTACAATATTCATATAAGGATGAGTATATGTAGGGACCTGTAAATCTTTCAGAAAACGTATTTAGAAACTTTTAAATAATATTTTTCCACATCCACTGTTATTTTTGAAGAGAAGAAATGCTTACTACTTTCCTAACCTTTATCTTGGTTGATAGAGGTTGATCAACAAGCTGAAGAAGCTGACCATGCCCAGCAGGCACAGACACCTGTTACCACGAGCCCATCAGCCTCAAGCACAACTTCCTTTATGAGCAGCTCCCTTGAGGACACCACAACTGCCACCACTCCAGTCACTGACACAGAAACGGTGCCTGCATCTGAGTCCCCAGGAGTGATGCCACTTAGTCTTCTCAGGTAGAGAAGTTGACCTTTAATGTCTGCTATTTCTGATGCCTCTAGTTCTCCAGGCATGGTTGTTTTCTTAATGAATAGTGGGCCCAACTGAATGAACCCCGGTGTTCTGGAGCTAGAAAGAACCTGAGATCATTTAGTAAAGCCCATTTAAATGAAGTTGGAAATGTCCCTCAGAAGTTTAATAAGTTACCTCAAAGTCTCACAGTGGTAGACCCAGGTCTAATCAGCCATGCCACTGATGAGCAAGGGCTCCAACACTTGAGTGCTGTCTTAGTGATGATTTTTTGTTTGTTTGTTTGAGCTTTGGAATTTTTTTCCTTCAGAAGATAAATACTTGTGTTTTGAACATTAGTTTCAATAAAAAGCTCATATCCATGAATATATTTTTTCATTTAAGCATAATTCTTTATACTTTTATTTGTACTATAAGATCAAATAAGTGTACCTTTTCAAATGAAAAGGCATGTTTTATGATGCTTCTTTAGCCAACCCTACTTAATAGGTTTGTAAATTCCAAATAACGTTTACTTATTTAAATTTAGTTTTGTTTCAGCTTGTCAGATATGTACACAAAGGAAAACTTCAGAAAGAAGACTGTTCTGATCTCTCTTAACTGTGGCTTAAGTGAAACAAGGGAAACAAATGTTTAGTGTTTCTTTTTAAAGTTATCTTTTTCCCTTCTTCTTACTTGACAGGTCATTTTTATATCTATTCTGTAGACCAATATCTTAGAAAGTAGAAGAGGAGAATGGTTGTCTTGTAGTGAGTCTCAATATTTGGACATGTGTACATTATTTCCTATTTTAATTTTATGCTAATAACCATTGCTGTTTTCTCAAAGGCAAATGTTCTCTAGTTATCCAACTACCACTGTACTTCCCACACGTCGGGCACAGACTCCTCCAATATCGTCGTTACCAACTTCTCCTTCTGATGAAGTAGGAAGGAGGCAAAGTTTAACTTCTCCTGATTCACAGTCAGCAAGGCCAGCTAATCGTACAGGTGAGTGTGTTTTCATTTACTTTGACACCCAAACATCTTGGCATTCCAGATGTATGGACTTTATTATGTGAACATTATAGTTTGTCTTCACTGAAGGTAAAGCAGTGATTTTAATGAAGGAGAACTGCACCCATCAAATTGAATGGCTTCTTCATTTGAAACTAGATTAAATTGTGACTTAAAAGATAAATAACATACTATATATGAGTCATATCAGACTTTTCTTCTTTCATGATATAGACAATTTTTAGTGATATAAATTTCCCTCTACACATACTTTAGCTGCAACTTACACATTTTCAAATGCTGTGTCTTCATTTTCATTTAGTTTAAAGTACTTTCTAATTTACCTTTGAGATCTTTTTTGATGTCTGGGTTATTTGGAAGTGTGTTATTTAGTTTTCAGATATTTAGGGACTTTAGTTCTAGATATCTTGCTGATTTTTAAAATTCTACTTTTATTGTCATAAAAGAACATATCTTGGGCTGGGGATGTGGCTCAAGCGGTAGCGCGCTCGCCTGGTATGCGTGCGATCCGGGTTCGATCCTCAGCACCACATACCAACAAAGATGTTGTGTCCACCGAGAACTGAAAAATAAATATTAAAAATTATCTCTCTCTCTCCTCTCTCACTCTCTCTTTAAAAAAAAAAAAAAGAACATATCTTGTGTGTGTTTTTTTCTTTTTTGTGGTACTAGGGATTGAACCATCAGTATTTTGTGCATGCCAGGCAATTATTCTACCACTGAGGTACACCCACTCCCACCAAGCCTAAAGGACATATTAGTGGAGGACCAACTAATGTATCTAAAAGGAATGATGAAATTAGAAATCATCATCATTATAATAATTCAGCCATTAAATATAAATGGATGCTATTGAGTAAAACTTTGATGAGGAGTCAAAAATTCACACTCTTATAATACCTCCACAAATATACTTTTTAGTTTTAAAGGGAAAAAGGAAAAGAGTATCTTTGCTGTGGAGAAACCTGGCAGATCCCATCTAACTCAAGTAAGCAAAGTTAACATCACCAGAAGTGAGACAGATTGAAATTGTGTATCTTGGCTAGCATAATCCCAAGACTTAGGCAAAAGAATCTCAAGTTTGAGGCCTGTCTCAGCATCCAGTGAGACCCTGTTTCAAAATTTAAAAATAAAATGGACTAGGGATGTAGCTCAATGGTAAAGCACCCATGGGTTTATCCCCGGTATCAAAAAGTTTAAAAAAGAAGAGGAAGAAAGAAATTGCATATCATATATATCATCTAATAGAATGCAATGAGAAAATACTAAAAAGCATTAATCTGAATCTAATCATGAGGAAGCAACAACAAATTTAAATTGAGCTACATTATACAAAATCTCTTATCTTCAAAATATCAAATATCTAATCTTGAAATATCTAATCTTTGAAATGTCAAAATGATTGAAGGAGATAGAAGAGAATTGACAACTAAATAAAATGCAAAGATAATCTGATCCCAGATTAGATCCTTTGCTGTAAAGGACATTGCTGAGACACTTAATATGCTTATTCAGGAGAGTATTCTTATTTATAGGAGTTACATATTAGCATATTTAGGGGAGGTAGAACATCAGGTCTGCTACTTACTCTGCATTGGTTCAGGATAAAAAATTCTTTGTACTATTCTTGCAAATTTCCTGTAAGTTTGAAATTTTTTTAAAGGAATTTTCAGCAAGTTTATTTTATATTACTAGCAGATTTATCTGTTTGAAAACCTTTATGTTGCTATAATAAGCTTAGTCATAGCATATTTTACTAGAGTAAGATTTTATTTAGACATTTTCAGGAAATTGGAGACTTACAGCTATTGTGAGAACTTACATTTAGGCCTTTACTTCTTTTTCTTTTGCTTCAGCCTTGTCAGATCCAAGCAGTAGACTTTCAACTTCTCCTCCTCCTCCAGCAATTGCTGTTCCATTGCTGGAAATGGGGTTCTCACTCCGACAGATTGCCAAAGCCATGGAAGCTACAGGTGGGATAAATTTTTATTTATTAGTATCTGTAGATATGAGAAGTCCTACCTTGGTGAAGGCAAAGTATTTTTAAAGAGGTCATAAATCTTGGTAAGATTTTTACACCAGATCCATGTAACTGTTACCATTTACAAGGGCATGAGACAAAACACTTCAAAACTGATAGCAACATAACTAATTACTTTGTCCAAATTAAGTATCAGAATTTTTTCCCCCTATATAGGTGCTCGAGGAGAGGCTGATGCCCAGAATATTACTGTCCTTGCCATGTGGATGATAGAGCACCCTGGGCATGAGGATGAGGAAGAGCCCCAGCCAGGCAGCACAACTGACTCCAGGCATGGAGCAGCAGTTTTAGGCAGTGGTGGAAAGTCAAATGATCCCTGTTATTTGCAGTCACCAGGAGACATACCGTCAGCAGATGCTGCTGAAATGGAGGAAGGCTTTAGTGAAAGGTGAAATTCCAATTTCTTTTTTTAAATTTCTTTTTCTTATTTCTGTTCCATGTGTTAAAAATAGTTCCTCCAAAATAACCATTTATTTCACTTCATAAATGTTTCTAGTGATGAATAAAGTTGGTAAATGTAGTTATGTGAAAAGAGATGGGCATTTATAAGCTTATGTTTCTGTGAGGAGTAAAAATGAGAAGTTTTGATAAGAATGGATGTTTTCATGAAAAGCAGGAAGTGCATAAGTTTTATGTAAAAGTTAGCTGGAAAAAGGAAACTGAAAATTAAAAGTTTATTTTAAAGTAAAATAAACACCCTGATAAAAACAGTTTTATCTCACAAGGGATATAATATAGAATGTTCATTTTAGTGATAGAGATTAATTAACGTATTTGATAGAATTGGACTGTCTCAGTATAGTTAAATTTAAATTTTCATTTTATCCTAATTTTCAGTATCTAGTATAATATGTCCCTTGTAAAAAGAATTCTGAGATGATGCCTTCCCTTAAATGACGTGTAATAAAATATTCTAAAATCCTCCTTAAAATCTTTTCTCCTGGGGCTGGGCTTGTGGCTCAGTGGTAGAGTGCTCATCTAGCATGTGCAACGCTCTGAGTTTGATCCTCAGCACTGTATAAAAATAAATTAATTAATTAAACTATAACTAAAAAAATATTTTTTAAAATATATCTTTTCTCCTGCAGCACTTCTTATGATATTAGACCTTCTTCATTTTTCATCTCTATGGTGGAGTTGTATAATTACCAAGTCTGTGTTTTATAAAATGCAGACTTTTTCTAACAAGCTCAGTGAATATTTTCATAATTTATTTTGAAATATCTATTCATAATAATTTCAAATTATAAGTATTTAATTATTTAGGATTTATTTAAATATTTTATTCTATTCAAATATTTTATCTTCTTTTTCGTTTTGGTGTTGGGGAATGAACCCAGGGCTTCACTTATAATAAGTAAGCACAATGACCACTGAGCCACATCCCCAGTCCTAATCTAATTTTAATTTGAATCTGAACTAAGCACCATTTCACTATTGGTGGAATTAAAAATCAGGTACACATTCTCTCAGAGCATATGATATTATTTATAATTTAGGAACTTTGCAAGGGACAAAAGACAGATTTCAAAGTTTTATCATAGGCTAAAGACATATCTCAGTGGTAGAGCAAGTGAATACTTAAGCTTCACAAAGCCCAGGGTTCAATCCCCAGCATTAAAAAATTTTTTTTTTCAAAAGCATATTTTTTTCTCAAGACATTTAGAGAAAAATGTAGTGCCACAAGAAAGCTTACACCTTGCTTTCTTTTCATGGTATGTTGCTTTCAAACTTGTACTTGTAGCACTGATAATCTGGATCATACAGAGAATGCAGCTTCTGGAAGTGGACCACCAGCTAGAGGTCGCTCAGCAGTAACAAGAAGGCACAAGTTTGATTTAGCAGCTCGCACATTGCTAGCGAGAGCAGGTAATTATATTTCAACTTCTCTTGTAAGGGCAGCATTAAAGAAGATGTAACTAATAATACTAAGTATTCAGTCCACCCACATTAACAAAATTACTATTTGTATATAATTTTCTACATATTTGCATAATTTTACTTAATTGAAATGAGAGTATACATGTAAAGATTTATTTTTTAAGTTCCCTCTGATGTAGAAGGCTATATAGGCCACTTATAAGTTTTGAGAAATTTTACAAATGATCCCTCAGAAGTGATGATGAATATTTGATATTTACTATCAGTGGTGAGATACTTATCATCAGTGGTGAGAAGGAACTAGAAAGGACACTGCCCAAAAAAGTGTAGGCACAGACTTTTTTTGATGTATTCTGTTAGGTACTCACCAGTAGATAAGGCCCTACCTAAGCAAAAATAAATTCCCTCAATTCATTAGTAAATTATTATAGGATTATGTTTTAAAGTATAAATTGGGGAATACGTTTTATAAACCAAAAACTGGGATATATGATTTGTCAAAATAGGATTTGATCTTTGAAATATTAGAATTTAAGTAATGATTCAGTCATTTTTGGGAACAGTGAGAAAGAAACTCAGACTGTCCTGGAAAACGCAGGATATATATATTTATCATGAATTGAAAGGGGAATGGCTTAGATAATGCCAAGTGAAGTTAGCCAATAACTTCCCCCCAAAAACCAAATGCTGAATATTTTCTTGGTTATAAGGAGGCTGATTCATAGTGGGATAGGGAGCAGGAGCATGGGAGGAATAGACAAACTTTAGATAGGGCAGAGGGGTTGGAGAGGAAGGGAGGAGGTGTGGGGTAATTAATGATGGTGGAATGTGAGATCATTATTATCCAAGTACAGGTATGAAGACACAAATTGGTGTGAATATACTATGTATACAACCAGAGATATGAAAAATTGTGCTGTATATGTATAATAAGAATTATAATGCATTCCGCTATCATATATAAATAAAAAATTCAAAAAAATTTTAAAAAGCAAAAAATAAAAATAAAAAAAATAAACCTGAAAGAATAATAACAGCTAACATTTATTGAATGTTTTTCTATACAAAAACTAACATTATAAAGAATTTTTCATGGGTTATCTTGTTTAAACATTTAGCCCAGTGAGACAGGAGTGCTATTATTGTCCCTATTTTATAGGAGATGAAACACATGTGATAGGTTTGTTGTATAGGATGAGTTTGGTACTCATCTTATGTGTGGCAGTTAAGAACTGGCAAAATATTCAGAATTACTTTATTCATGCAAATAAAATACCGTTTCTGTTTTGTTCTGAGCGGGGTTATACCGCTCTGTGCAGGCCCACAGGAATCAAAGTCGGAGAGAAGGAATATCTTTGCAGCAAGACCCAGGGGCGTTGTATGACTTTAATTTAGATGAGGAATTGGAAATTGATCTTGATGATGAAGCAATGGAAGCTATGTTTGGACAAGACCTGACCAGTGACAATGATATTCTGGGAATGTGGATCCCAGAGGTACTGGATTGGCCTACCTGGGTGTGTGTGACTGCAGCGGGGGCTGCTCTGACTTATTTTCCTGCCCTCCTATTCATGTATCTTACTAACAGCAGCCTTGTATTGAGTTGAAGTCTCTAAAAAGCCTTACATCTCATCTTGATGTTTGGGGATTTAATGCTTGAAGTTGCTTTGATACCTACAAACCAATATGAAAACGTTTCTCTGTTGCTTTTTCTGCAATTTTACTGCTTCTTTCCCCAGACTAGATGAAGAGAGCCATATTGTGGCAATATTTGATTGTAATGTCAAAGGTAGATAACAAAACAAGCATCAGTCCCCATAGATGCTGCTGGGTTAGGTAACATAACTGCTTCATTCACATTGCTGTCTGAGTGCATGCTCTTCTCCTTCATAGGTTCCATTTAATCACTGTTAATATCTCATTCTGGGAACCAGTGCCCACCAAGATATTTTAAATACCTTCATCCAGGGACAGGGTACATGTGGGTTTGTATGTATAAATTGATTAGCATTACAATTTTATAGTAGAGAGACTAAAAAGTTCTTAGACATAAATCTTATAGGAAACTAACTGCCATATTAAGTCAGTAAAATAACTGCACCTTAATGACTTTTCTCAGAAATTCAGAAAATAGATTTAGCATTTTATAGCCAGATAAAAAGTAGTTATTTTCACTTGAGAGGGTTTTTATTATTATTATTATTTTAATAATTGCTTTAAGATAGGGCAGATTGTCATGTTCTTAACTCTTTTCTCACTCTTCTCATATTGCAATTTATTGTGGATCTCAATTCTGATTTTTAAAAATTAATTAATTAATTAATTAATTAATTTTATGGTACTGGGAATTGAACTCAGAGACCCTCTACCACTGAGCCCTTTTTATTTTATTTTGAAATAGGATCAGTATTACTAAGTTCCTAAGGTAGCCTCGAATTTAGGGTCTTCTGCCTCAGCCTCCAAAGTTGTAGGCATGCCTCACTGCCTGGCTTGAATTCTTATTTAAAAGAAATTTTTATGAAGTATTAATGAAAATATTGTGAATATTTTAAGATATGTAAACAAAGTAGTTAAGATTGTAAACAACCTATTTACCTCTTAATTTTATGTTAACTTGACTATAATAATTTGGTATGAAATCATTTTATGCAGCATGTTTGTGAGTCTGAAGATAGGGAAGAAGTGGTGGTATGTGAACTGTGTGAATGCAGTGTCGTCAGCTTCAATCAGCACATGAAGAGAAACCACCCAGGCTGTGGGCGCAGTGCAAATCGTCAGGGCTATCGCAGTAATGGCTCTTATGTGGATGGCTGGTTCGGTGGTGAATGTGGGAGTGGAAATCCATACTACCTGCTATGTGGAAGCTGCAGGGAGAAGTATTTAGCTCTGAAGACTAAGTCCAAGACAACAAATTCTGAAAGGTACCTTGAAATTGTGTAGATATCTAGGCTCTATGAATATCATATACCTTAAGAGATAGGAACTGAAGACTTTCCATGTGAGGAATAATTTTTATCTTCCCAAAGTCCTATGATTGCTGAATTGGTGGCAGAAAGTATGGAGAAGTAGGGAATACTTTTAGGATCTCTGAGGTCCTGAAATAGAGGCATGACAGCAGGTCCTTTTAGGATCTCTGAGGTCTTGAAATAGAGGCATGACAGCAGGTCCTTCACTGGAGTTTATTAATCTTTGACTTATTGGCCAGTTTTAGTCAGGACACTTGCCTTAACCCTCAGAAGGCATACAGTCAGTTTTTTTCATTGATGTATTATACCATATTTCTGGCATCTTAATTAATATCTTTTTTTTGGTGAAAAAATAGACTGCTCTGTTTAAATGAGTTGCCATGAAAATATTTTCTCTATATCCTTAATCTCTAGTAAGTAGAATTTTGGTCTTTATTGTCAACTATTAAATCTTAAAGGCTTTTTGGAAGTTTGATTGAAAGAGTTGGTTGTAGATGATCAGGAATCTCCCCAGTTGTTGGGTAAAACAGTCACTGATTTATTAGCATGTGTATACATACTTACTTATAGTTTTTATTAGATTATCCCATAATACAAAACACTTTTATATTTTGCTGCTTTATTAATGACCTATTAAAACATTCTAATGGCTTAATTTGCACAAATTTGGATACTAACTTTTATATAAAAACACAATGTTCTTCATGTTTGGTGCAGGTACAAGGGACAAGCTCCAGATCTAATTGGCAAGCAGGACAGTGTATATGAAGGTAGTTGTTTGTTTTGAGAGCCTCTTTATTTTACATGTATTTTTATATATACTCTCTGCTTAACATTTGTTACTAAAATATACCATGATATATGTCTGTATTTATGTACATATTAACTTGAATATTCTGTAGTAATAACCATAGTTTGAAAGTCAAAGGAAAAAGGACCTGAGCCCAAATATTAGCTTTACTACAGAATGTTAACTTCTGTTTTTCATATTTTTTCCAAAAAGTAAAAAAGAGATGTAGTATATTTTAAATTTACATCCTAATTATTAAAAGTGAAAAATAAAAAATTGAGATGACCATCAATTTTTCTGGAGCACTCATTTACTTGAAATAACCTCTCCTTAATGATTATGGACAGTGTTATGAACGTTTTGTTGGTCCCACAACACTTTTTTTATTGGTTGAAACCTCCATGACCAGTTGTGACATTTCCAATTGTTTATTTTATTTTCAACTATACTGGCTCTTTTTCCCTTCTCTTGTCTCACTCTGCTTCAAGAATGCAGTTTGGTCAGGTCACCAGGAGATGATGTCATAGTTTATGTTGTGGGTAGTGGAATTTGAATCTAGCTTTCTTATATTTATTTATTTTGTGTGCATATGGTTCTGGGAATTGAACCCACAGGCACTTTACCACTGAGCTACACCCCTAGCCCTTTTTATTTTTTATTTTGAGACAGTTTCTTGCTAAGTTGCTAAGGTTGGTCTTGAATTTGTGATCCTCCTGCCTCAGCCTCCCAAATCATTGGGAATACAGGCATGTGTTATCATGCCTAGCTAATCCAGTTGTATTTTAGATATGTCTTATAATAATGATTGCCAGCAGAGCTAAATCATGGTTTATATTCACTTATCATATATTTATTTATTTAAATTCCAGAAGACTGGGACATGTTAGATGTTGATGAAGATGAAAAGCTGACAGGTGAAGAGGAATTTGAATTGCTTGCTGGACCACTTGGTTTAAATGACCGGCGCATTGTACCAGAACCAGTTCAGTTCCCTGACAGTGACCCACTAGGAGCATCAGTGGCAATGGTCACAGCTACCAACAGTATGGAAGAGACTCTTATGCAAATAGGTAAACTGAAATACTAATTTGCATTGGTTTTTATTGTCCATTTTAATTTGTTTCTTAGATAAATAGTAAGTGGTTTAACGTTTTCTTACATGATCAAGTCTCTCTAGCCAGTTGTTTTAACATTTTAGAGGTATGATATAATATTAAGTTTTGATTTTTTTGTGTTTATGAACTATTGAAGTGATAAAAGGATGATTTGTAAAACATGACTAAGGATTTTTTAAACTTTGTTATAAGAGAATTCTTTAACTGACTAAAATTATTGGGCAGCTTTTTTGTTTTTATATTGGTGAAAATATGGAATTTTTGTTGTAGGGAATACAAAATAAGAACTTGAGATAGTACTGGTGACAGTCCTTTATGTGTACTCAAAGCATATTTTAAAAACTGTCTTTTTTAACATCTATTAATATCAGTGGAAGTGGTTGTGGTGGTGGTGTTGCCTGTAATCCCAGTTACTTGAGTGACTGAGGCAGGAGGACTGCAAGTTTGAAGTCAGCGTGAGAAACTTAGTAAGAGCCTGTCTCAAAATTTAGAATATATAAAGGTCTGGAGATGTAGCTTAGTGGTGGAGTGCCCATGGATTCAATCCCCAGTACTAATGGGCTGAGGGGGAGTAGATAGATAGATGGATGGATAGATAGATAGATCAGTAAAAGTGACATATGAACAAAAAATGTTTTCAAAAGAAACTTTAATAGGTTGTTAACTTAGAAATATCTAAATTAGAACTTAGAAATATCCAAGTTTCTCTGAAGGAATTTTCTGTATAATGAAGTTCGAAATGAGCAAAATACATTGGTTTGCTGTATTTCTTTGCAGGCTAGCATCTATATAAAATAGGAAAATTTTTCAGTAGTCCAGATACTTTTTTTTTTTTTTTTACCTGTTGAGAACTAAACACAATCCTGTTTTTTCAGGTTGCCATGGCTCTGTAGAAAAGAGTTCCTCTGGGAGAATAACATTAGGAGAGCAGGCAGCAGCTCTTGCAAATCCTCATGACCGGGTGGTGGCTTTAAGGAGAGTCACAGCTGCTGCTCAAGTTCTTCTGGCTAGAACCATGGTCATGAGAGCACTGTCTCTTCTCTCAGTCAGGTGAGTTTTATTTTGTGTAAATGATGCTAAGTTGGCTTCTGGTATATATTAGATAGGAATCTGATGTTATTTGGGAGGGTAAGATAGAAAAAAAAATTTGGTGAGGGGTGTCTTCCTATGTTGCTTAGGCTATCTTGAACTCGTGGATCCTCCTGCCTCAATCTCCTGAGTAGCTAGTGTTATAGGCATGAACCATGGTGCCTGGTTACTTAACTTTCTTTTCTGCTTTATTATTATTATTATTGGCAGAGGGTGGGAAGGATGGTGCATGCCTGTAATCCTAGTAGCTCTGTAGACAGGAGAATATGGGTTCAAAGCCAGCCTCAGCAATGGCGAAGTGCTAAACAACTTAGAGACCTGTCTCTAAGTAATACAAAATAGGGCTGGGGATATGGCTCAGTGGTCGAGTGCCCCTGAGTTCAATTCCCAGTAAACTCCCCTACACCCCCCCCCAAAAAAAAAAAACCTATTGGTCCACTTCAAATAACAAAATTAAATGTATGCCATCTACTCAGTATAATGACATTATTTTCTATGTGAAAAAAGGTAAGTAAAAATTAGCTGGTTAAAAGTTAAAGATTGAATGTTTCTGCAGAATCAGCCCAACTATAGCAAAATCTTACGAATTTTGATATAGGGACTCTTGCTTAGTTCATATTTTGAAATATAATACAAAAAAGAAAAAGAACACCTGAAAAACACCCATTTAAGAAAAACTTAAGTGGAAGTATTTGGTGGCAAATCAATGAAGAAAAAATAAAACTTAGGACTGTGTGGTGTTAGCTCAAGAATAGACAAATAGGATAATGGAGAAGAATAGATTTCAGAAACAGACTCACACATGTATATAAACACTTGATTTGTTGGATTTTTGTCAGTGGTTAAAACTGTAGAGCAATGTTTAAAGAATAGTCCTTTCAGCAACAAGGGCAGGGTCAGGTGGATTTATTCACATAAGGATAAGAAAAATGAGTCTTGACCCCAAACTTACACTATATAAAATGAACCAAATCATTCCAAAGTTGCTCTTAGATCTAAATGTATAAGACAATAAAGTTTCTATAAGTAATATAGAAGAATTTATTCTTGATCTTGGGGTTGAATTTCTAAAGTCATAGAAGGTGTCCACCATAAAGAAAATGATTGGCCAGGTAAAGTGGTACACACCTCTAATCCTAGTGGCTCAGGAAGCTGAAGTAGGAGGATCATGAGTTTAAAGCCAGCCTCAACAAAAGTGAGGCACTAAGCAACTCAGTAGAGACCCTGTCTCTAAATCAAATACAAAATAGGGCTGGGGATGTGACTCAGTGGTTGAGTTCCTCTGATAACCGCCACCCTCCACAAAAAAAAAAAAAAAGAAAGAAAAAAAGAAAAAGAAAAAGATTGATAAATTAGATTGAATTAAAACAGAAAACTTCTGTTTAATAAAAAATCAAAAGTAAAAAGAATTCAAAAGAAAAGTGGGCAAAATACATTTTAAGAAGTGCTTCATACAAGAGGATTTCCAAATGGTAAACATGAAAAGGTATTTAAGCCTCATTAGTCTTATGAGAAATGAAAATTAAAAGCCAGTGACATCCTTCACACTCACCAGAATGACTAAAATTTAAGACTGGAGGAGGGGGGTGAACATAAGGCTGTGAAACACCTCGAGAAAATAAATTGATACAACTACTTTGGAAAACCGTTTGCTAATATCAATTAAAGCTGAATATGAACGTACTCTATGACCTAGCACTTCTGGGTAGATGTATACAACAGAAATGCTTCTACATGTGCACTAAAAGACATACATAAGAGTATTCGTGACATAACAGCCTCACAGTAGAAACCACCTGATTGTCATCTGTATGGACAAATGGATTATGGTAGATTTTGTTTATATGTCAATAAAAATTAATAAACTACATAATGTAATCACATGGATGAATCTTACAAAATCTTGAACAAAAGAAGCCAGACACAGAAGAGCACATACTTTAT